ATTTCAAGTACTTGATTTAGAATTTCTCCCTAAGTATGTTTTGTCTATTCTTTATTGTGCACACAAAGTTGTTTTAATAGACAAACATAATACCCTAAGTTTAATGTCATTTGGCTTATATTAATCCTTATACTCTTTAAGAAGTGTCAAAATATGATTGATGGGGGTCCCGGGTTATATTGACCCGTTAGACTGTATTTGTTTGCTTTAATATTATTATGGAGTAAGATGAAATTTTCTTGGCCAAAACTTACTTCAACTTATGTATAAATGATCTCAAGTTCAAGTGGGAGAATGTTGGAAAATATTCCATTTAAATGCCCTTGGACCATTTATATAATTTAATAAATATTGGAGACATTTATGTCTTACCATTAAGTTTGTCATATGACAGATTTGGTCTCTTTATTTATGTATAGTCAACATATGATGGATATGTTTTAACATTAAATAATACATAAGGGTCCAATTGGGTTTCTCTTTGATACATGTTAAGAAACACCCGTTCATTCATTCTTACGACTAAGAGGGAAGTACATGTTTCTTCCCAAAGGGTCTCAAGAACACCTATATTAAGAGACCTAAGGGAGATTGTTTAATCCATCGCAAATCCGCTTGTATCCTTAGAGAATCCAACGACATCATGGCTTCATCATTTTCGTCATCAAAGTTTGATTTCTCCTCAACCGGTTAGTGTTCTTATTGTTTGATTATATGAATTTTATCATGTTTAGTGAGACTAGATCCTTAATTGGGACTGAATTCCTCTGCAACGGGAACCACCGTTCGAACTTGTCTATTTGAGGTGCTTCCAGCCTCCAAGTGATTTTTTTGGTATACAATTCCGTTCTATAAAATTTCAATTTAGAACTCAATCGGGAATTCAGTTAAATATGTTAATGAAAAACACTGCGTTTTAATATACATTTTGATACAATGTTTTTCAATAATTAATTTAACCGACTTTCCGATTGAATTTTAATTTAAAATCCTGTGAACATGATATGCACTTGATGAATAACAAGTTCACAAAATTTTATCAAAATATTTCACCGAAAACCCCTCAAATAATAAACAAATTCTAACGGTGATTCTCGTCAGAACAACCTTAGGTGATCATCAGTGTGTGTGTGTCTATAGAGACATATAGATATAATTTGCACTTAATTGAGCAAGTTTTGAAGATTGATGCTCAACGTATAATTCTATAAGGTTAGAAAGATGAAGAACAAATGCTTTGTTTAACCTATTTTCTCGTGGCTCAATATACCTATAGAATATAGAAGTAGTTTAGTATATTTAAACATATATAAATAAATGTGTATTGAGTTGTGTAAATTACGTTAAACGTAATTTATATATCCATGTTTAAACCTTGTACTAAACTGCAAAAGTAATCGAAAATGATTCAAACTTATTATTTACAATCAATGTTAAAATTAGAGTTAAGCTAAACCGTATGTATAATAATATACGAGAATGTTCACAAAATAATAATAAAATTTACATACCGGAGTAATAAATTCACATAATTTATAAATTTATTCTAATAATAATAATAAAATTCACAAAATATTACTTCGTATATCTAGTCACATTGGACCAAACAATAATAAATTAGATCAGACCATGTTGTACTACGGCCTCAAGTTTCTAGGTACTAGTAATTACAGGGTTTAGGGTTTAGGATTTAGGGTTTAGGGTACTATTTCGTCATTCCCAGGAGATGCCTACGGCCTCAAGTTTCTAGGGTACTAGTAATTACAATGTATGTAGTACTCTTGCGTCCCATTTTACATGTCTTATTTTCTTTTTTGGATTATTCCAAAATAAGCGTCTATTTTCCTCTTTTGAAAAAAATATGTGGCTTACATGAGTACATCATTTCACTTTATTATACTCAAACCTCAATCACAACTTTTATTTTTTCAACCACTTCACTAATAATCATGTCAAGTCAAAGTGAGACACATAAAATGAAAGGAGATAGTATTTTTTATTCTTAGAAGTGTTGAATCGGCATATTGTACGCTTTCGTGACTCGTTAGTCGTAATAAGAAGTGAGCATAGCGAGCTGAGGTGGTAATTTACTCCATTAACCCAGCGTTGGCGGCTTGCGATATACTAGTACGAACTACGAAGTATGAAAGTATTACAGAGCACTTTATTTTATTCTACTGTAATTATGAACCGCACCAAAGTTTAGATTTGTAGTTACTTTAATAAAATTTCCATTATTATTGATTTATGATAGCTCCCAATTTTATACCTACACTAATTAATTTTGTTGCTCTCCAATCAAAGTGCTTTTAATTTTTATTGTTTGTTTAACGTTTGTAACAATGTGTTATAAGATGCACAAAATCATCTAGCTTGTAATATGTAAGCAAGTACTCCCTTCGTCACTTGAAATTAATCCCGATAGACTTGGATCAGTGTTTAAAAAGTGAAAATAAAGTGAAAACATGTGATTGCAGTATAGAATGTTAGCCGCACAAAACTTTTTAAAAAGTGAAATGAGAAAAAAATTTGGGACGTCTCAATAAGAAAAGTGAGAAGAATATTAAGGGACAAAAAGATTATTTACTTAATTTAATCGAGCATACAACAATCATATATTTTCATTTGTGATTTTTTTAATTTCAGTTTTTGTAAAAAATATGTAGCTCTTGTGATGACTCATACTTCTCCATACATAAGTACGGAGTAGTTAAGTGTTTTTCTATCTAGGGCAAATCCAATTTAAGCGAAGTCAGACTAGACATACTATACACGTCTTGTCATGATCTCACAATGATGCAAACACTCAAAATCAATTAGAGTCACACTAAATCAAACGGTATCATATTTGAATAATCATATTTTACTAAACTTAATAAAAGAGATCATATCTGGTGCGGTTTTTGGACTAGACTTAAAAAACTCTGTCCAAATGAACTGGTCATTTTGTTGGCCTGGGCCGATTTTATCTGGTGTGGTTAAGTCAAATTTGATTTGATCTACTAAGTGTAATATGGTACTCGTATATTTAAAACTGGCTCGTTATACTTTGTTTTGGTTTGATTTGACGGATTGAAACAAATGCAAATCAATAGAGCTTATGACTTAAGTCAATGATAATAAAGCTTGACCAATGATTTTGATTGTGATAGTTATAAATTTTATATTCTTATGAAAGTACTTTTCATAAGAACATATTCATATTATTTTTATATCATAAATAGTTTCTCTCGAAAATACGGAGTATATAATTGTACAAAGTTTATATTTATTGACCAAATAATTCAAAGAAAGACAAAGTTTTAAGGAAAGAAAGAGTATTAAAAGGGCATGAAAGTAACTTTAGATGAGATTAGGGTGTTAATCGAGCAAGTGAAACTCGAATTCGGCTTAAACAGTGTGGTACTTGATAATGAAAAATCGAGTTCCCGTCCAGTTTATCTGAGAATGTCTAAAGCCCATAACACTATTAGAACATTCCCTAAAAACATGAAGCAACGGGCGAGTCTTTGATATACGATAGTATATGTATAATACGTAGTTTATATTTTTATAGAAATTACTTAGATCCCCGTTTGGTAACGAAATCGGCTGCTGATATTTATGAAATTCTGGCTGAAGTGACTGTATTGGCTAGTTCTGCTGATTTATGAAAATATTATATATAAAATATATTTTATTAATAAAATAAAGAAAAAATTATGTTAAAAAAAAATAAAATGATCCTCTAAAGTAATTTCAACCAATACAGCCAGAAAAGTAACTCAAACCATATTTTTTCTTATTATTACACAATTCGGCACACGAAATCAAAAGTTACTTTTTGGTGAAAAAGTTGATTGATAAGATTGATAAGTCGAAAAACAGGCTCACCAAACGGGCTTGTTGGGATATATTATCCCGGCCTATTACTGTTCAGGAGCCCAAGACATTATCCAGTACGGAGCCCGAGAAGCTAGGCCCATTTCGGCCCATTAGGCCCAATATTGGCCCGTTTGGCCCATTAGGGTGGAGAGCACCCTTTCCCCTTTGTCTATAAATAGGGAGCTTAGCCTCCATGTAAAGGATCTTTTCCTTCTTCCTTCTTCCTCTAGAATAGCTTACAAGACTCCATTAATGGGAGCTCAAAATGTACTATGTAATGGTGAGGAGAGTCCTAATGAGAAAGAGAGGGCTTGGACATTAGCCTAAAAAGTCCCGTGGTTTTCTCCCTTTCGGGTTTCCACGTAAAAAGAGCTTGTTCATACACATTTATACATATATTTACTATATCGTGTTGGATTAAACTCAACAGGGCTCAATATAAAACAAATTTATACAATGATAAAAAAAGATTAAGTATGTTTTGTTCCTCAAATAGGAGTTATGTATTCTTATCAAAAGAATAAATTTGATTAAAACTTCTCAAAATAAGAGCCAATGAATCATATTTCGAGAATAATATAATGATAGTCCTTTTTGTGAAATGTATATTTTTGTATCCCTATTTACCTAATATTTTTTTATTTGGAATTGATTCCGCTTCTGATTCTTTTTTAAAAACAAAAGCAAGATTAAAATCAGTTTTTCAGAAATTAGTCTTCACCAATTTATAAAGAGGAAGTATCCAATATAGGAGTATAAAAGTTTCGACATTCCAAAATAGGAATGCCATGTTATTATTCCCTAAATAAGAGTAATTATTGTCAAATTTGAAAAATATTGTCATTTTTATAGTCTCGTACTGTCAAAACATGACAATAACTACTCATATTTTGGGAGTAAAAACATAATAGTCCTATTTAAAGATACACAAACATTTCTAGTTATATTTAAGACAATTTCCCATTTCTAAAATATTACTCCGTATTTCTAGAAACAATTTGGAGCACCCAAACAACTTATGTAATTTCGTTCAAACATTTATCTTGAAAGTAAGTATACCCAAAGAACTTATGTAATTTCGTTCAAACATTTATCTTGAAAGTAAGTATAAACAATTTTAAGAAGAAAAATCCAAAACACCCTCAATTTGACAGAAACCTATCTAGATTCGAATAAGCAACCTGAAACCAGACTATATGAGCGGTAAAACACAACTTGCAAATGGAGTTGCTTGAATAGGACTCCCTATAGAATACTTGGTATTTATAAATGCTTTCACGAAATGTGACATTAGTTCAATAGGTGGATGCACGGTTGCCGGTGGGTAAGCGGGGCATCGGAATGGTCAAGAATAAGGCGAAAAGTACAGCAGAAAGAACTGTAGAGAAAGCGACACGCACGCAATTGCACAAAATGGCCTCTGTAGTCTAGCCTTCCATCTTAGCTTGCCACCTCCAAGAACTCTCAAAGACTCCATCTTTCAATCACATTCTCAGATTCACCCTCTGCTTACGCAAAAGTAACACTATTGTAGTATTAATCAGCCAAGTCTTCCCAAGATTTTAGCAGACCAAAAACAGTCTTTCTCCCTGAAATCCTGAAAACGTACCCATCACGCTCTCCCTCCATCTCTCTAACACTCTGCAAAACCCATTCGCCATTTTCAGCCAAATCAAGAGAGTGAAGAAACCCCACACCACATGCATTCATGAGCTGGGTATGGGGTGTTTGATTTCTCAGCTGGCGGCGAAGTTGGCCTTCTTTCCGCCTTCACCGGCCACATATCGTGTGAAGAAGCGCGACGGAGACGGCCGCTGGGAAGCTGTCCCGAACTCCGCCGCCGCCGCCGCTTTGACGGCGTCCGTTGCGGAGGATGCTTGTCTGGATGTGCAAGTGCTAGAGACCAAGAGGGGAAACAAGATCGTAGCTTTTTACCTAAAGAGCCCGTATGCTAGGCTCACGCTGCTGTATTCTCACGGAAATGCAGCTGATCTTGGTCAACTTTATGACTTGTTTCTTCAGCTCAAAGCTAATCTCCGAGTCAACATCATGGGGTCTGTGTTTAAAGCCCTCCTTCTGATTGGTATTAGAGCCTTAGTATTATTATTGTCTTCTTGTTGTTCTTGTAATTTTAGCATGAATAGAAAAATATGTTTTTTGTAATTAAAAATAATACTGAGTAATAATTAAGCTCAATGTATGGGTAAAAGATGTTTCAATAAGTTTTATTCATAGAAGGTACTCGGGTAGGGCAGATCTCAGGCCTCAACTTTTTTATTAGAAAAATAAACCTATTTTGGACATGTCCCTTTTCCTTCATTTATTTGGAAGAAAGGTAGTTTTTTGTCTTTCTTCTTTATACCCATTTCCCTTGTTAACATTTTAAAAGATGGCCCTTCTTGTGGTGGCTGGAGGTCATAGTGGGTGCCTGGGTGGGACTTGGGAGAGGGGGACATAGGAGGAATGGGTCCCCTTCCTCCCTCAAAGATATGTGTCTTTGTATGATTCTGTACTTTGCAATTTATGCAAATAGCAATAGATAATGCTCATCCATTTGGGGAAACTTTGTTTTTTTTTTCTTTTATGAATTATACAGTATATATTCAATTCAATTTATTTACAAATATAATTATGACAAGAGGTTGAGATAATCACAAGTATGAGGATGTCTGGTTCTACTTCAGCACAATATCATGTACTTTGGATGTGACATACGGAGTATAATGTTTCTATTCTATTTATGTTTTTCAATTCCCTGCAGATATGATTATTCTGGGTATGGAGCCTCTACTGGGAAGGTAGGCCACTTATGTTCTGTCTGATGCATTTTAGTCACGTTCTCTTTATTAAGATTCAAGATCTCCTTTGATGATTTGTTAATGTTTTTAGTTAAATGTTTAAATATGGATCAGCCAAGTGAATATGATACATATGCTGATATAGAGGCAGTATATGAGTGCCTTCAAGATGAGTATGGAGTTAGTCAGGAAGATGTGATCCTATATGGACAGTCTGTTGGCAGTGGGCCTACATTACACTTAGCGGCTAAGTTGCCGAGGCTGAGAGGGGTGGTTTTACACAGTGGCATTCTTTCCGGCCTCCGAGTGGTTTGTCATGTGAAGTTCACCTTTTGTTTTGACATTTACAAGGTAAGTAAATGTATAGGACTATTGAGAATTGAGATGAAAGCACTAGATTGTGTTATTAGTCTTTCTTTTCAAGGTTTTCTTGGTCAATAAATGTTACTACTATTAGTCTATAGAGCTTTGAATTGATCAAGATCAGTGGGAAAAAGTTAATCTTTAGATGAAACGGTTGCTTGATTTACGTAAAAAGGGAAATCTTTTTTGGATTTTTTGCAGTTCTTTGAAAAAAACCCTCATGTTTTGAAAGATCAGCCTATTTTCCTGAAAGAGGCCCTTTTTATAGTTTTTCCGCAGGTTAAACAATATATCATTTCTAGACCACCATTTTCTGCAAAAACTTACTTTCCATGGGTTGAACTAAGTTAAATAATTAACAGGTTGAATTCAACATTTTAGTGTAGTTTGACCCAAATGCCTTATGACCCTAACTTAATCTTGAAATATGTCATAAAAGCTGAACTTTGGGGGGGGGGGGGGTACTGGATATGATATTGCTCCGTGGTTGTTTGTTTTGTTGTTGAAACTAAAAACTAACTAAAAACATCTGCATATTTTACCTTGCTCTGAAGTATGCAATTGATTTCATGCCACATACCATAAAAGAACAGTAATGGTATTTATTGTGCTTGATTGAAATAGAAAAGGTGTGATTAATAAGCTCATGTTCAAAGAAGTTTTAAGGTTCATTTCCCATGCTTTAATGTGTTATTATTGAACATGCAACCAAAAATTAAGAGAAGAAAACATGGCAGGAAAGTTTGAATGATATGACAAGTTTGCTTTTTTACTTGTTCTGAATAGCTCTGACTAATAGTGAATTTGAACGTGCAGAATGTGAACAAGATGCGCAAGGTAAAATCTCCCGTGCTGGTAATACATGTAAGTTCTCAAATCTTAACAGTCCCAAGTCGAGCTTCAAACATTGTAATAAATTACTACTAGTACATTAGGTGATTAGTATGCAGTCTTTTAGAAGTTTAGTGGTCCATGCTTTTCCTTCCATTAAATTATTGTGATGTTACTTTCAAAGGAAGTTTTGTCCAGTATCCTGTCATCAATTAAATTAATGGGAATGTAATTCTTAGGAAGTCATTTCTTATGTGAAGGTTACTCTAAGAGAAAGTTAAATGTTAGGGGAAGTTAAATTCCCTGGAATGTTATTCCTGTGAAAACTTTCAAAGTAAAGAATTCCTGAAACTTCAACCAAGTGCATATGTTCAGGTCCACTAAATACCCCTATTAATTTCTATACACAGAATTTTTTTAAAGTTGAGCATGGCAAGATTACACACTGAGGAAGTTAATTCGTAGGGAAAGTTAGATTCCTAGGAAGATAATTCTAGTGGAAGCTTAGGATGTTTTTACTTGGACTGTTTTCAGTCCCAGATCAGACTTGGATAGTTATAAAATACACAGAGACCAGACATTTACCAGACCAGATCAGATCAGACCATCAAATTTTAGTCTAAGCAAAAACATCCTAACCTTCCTACGGAAACATTAGTCTAGTGCATATGTTGAATGTTGGTGTAAGAGTTTCGGCAGAAAAATGAATCTCTAGCCCAAACTCAAAGGAATGACCAAGTAGTATTAGGATATGATACCCTTCATTACTAGTAGAAGGATCGGTATGTTATGATATAAGTAGTGTTTGGCAGGGAACAGCAGATGAAGTTGTGAACTGGTTACACGGGGACAGACTATGGAAAATGGCGAGGGAACCATACGAGCCATTGTGGATTAAAGGAGGCGGCCATTGCAACTTAGAGCTCTACCCAGATTACATCCGCCACCTTCGCCACTTCATTCAAGAAATGGAGAATTTGACCACTGAAGTCCGACTTAAAAAGATCCGTCAAAATCTCTCTGATCTAAACAGGTCTTCTAAGACCACTACTGCTTTGAGGTCAAACACTTTCTGTTGTCTAGTAAAATTGGGCAGCAGAAAATGCCCAAAGTTTGCTTGCAGCTTCAAACCAGTCACCACAAGATGTTGGTGTTGGTGAACTGGTGATAGATAAGGTAGATATGGCGGGGAGGGGGTATATTCTTTCAATCTCCATAGTAATAGTAGTTCATGTAATAAACTAATTTGTTTATTGGTTTTCTTTTTTAATCCTCTAAGTTTATTCTCTTTTGGGTGAAGTTGCTCAGAGCTTAATTTAATTCCCTGATATTATAGCAAGCTAATCAATTGAAGTAGTTTCAACTATATCCAAGATTACCAAACATGCTAAAAACTCTACTTTATTTTCGGATTACTGTTTAAAATGATTTTGAAAATTGAAGAGATCTAAATAAATTGTACTAACTAATAGTCTAATATACAGTTTTGAAGAATGTTCAAATAAAAGCTACACACATCTACACGCAAAATATAGTTGCAAATGTAAGTGGTAAGCAATTAATCTACACTGAACTACTGAAGGACTATTTGTAAGAATTTGGCAAGTCGTAATTTATTGCACTGTAAGGGAGTGTTTGCTTTTTTAAAGTGATTTTGGAGAAAGTACTTATTAGTAATAGTTGGTAGTGTTTGAGAAAAAAGTGATTCTGAAAAAGTAAAAGTTCGTAGTGTTTAGTAAAATAAGTGCTTTTTGTGTAATACGGAGTATAAAAAGTGAAAAGCAGTTTAAAGCATCCATCCACCTGCTTCCAGCTTTTAAGTGATTAATTTAAGCAAAAGTTGTCATTTGAAAACATTTTTTTCAACTTTTTTTAAGCCAAAAGTTGAAAAACGTGTTTTTTTAAGTAACCGCAAACACTCATTAACTTTGTAAGTAGAGTATGTCATTTTGATGACTGAACGGCTTCTAGGTTTTAGCAAGGCAGTAATGAATTGTTAAGTATTGCAAACAGTATACAAACAGCCACCAATTTTTATAGGCAGTAATCATTCAACCACATTAGTGCGTAACTGTATAATAATAGTAATACTCCGTAATAATATTTAGATACAGAGTACTAGTATTATTTAATAATTAATGACAAGTTGAATAGTGGAAACGGCCCTATGCATAAAAGAACACATGAGAGGTGCAGCATAAGGGCTCGCTGTCCTACAAATGTATCATCAGAATTCCTCAACCATAAAAGATTAGTACACTGAGAAACAATGGGCAATATTTGATTATAATATAATAAAAAAAGAAGCTGAATGCAAGTCATTAGATTAAAAACTAACATCACGGGCCAATTAATTACTTTCTGTTACCAAGTCATTAGATTAACCACCCACAAAACAGCCGATTCAGCAGTCATTGATCACTATGAGAGGGTTCTGCATCTGATGAATGCGGACCTACCCCAGGAGGAGATTCATTCCTGCTAGGCCTCGGATCATCTTTACCAGGAGCTTCACCAAGTCTTTCCTGCATATAGTCAATTGTTAATACTAGAGTTATCTGACATTGAGGGTTACAATAAAAAGGGGCAGCCCGGTGCACATTGGTGTCCCTGCAAGGTGCAGGGTCCGGGAAGGATTCCACCACAAGAGCATATAAGGAGCAAATCTTTCCATATCATTTTGACCGAAAAAGCCATTCTTAAAAGTTAAAACAGACTGGTGCGCCAAAGCCCCTTCTCTTTGAGGGATACAGTGAAAGACGAAAAACATTATAGAAGTTGCTATGAAATTCAAACAAAATAGAAGTTTTAAAAAATCCATCCAGTAATTTTTTTAATAGCCGGACTGTACGAGTGCCAAACCCCATTGATTTTAAAGGCAAGGATCAAAACTTGGAAAATAATAGTCAAATAACCAAAAGTGGTTTTTTCTCTTATTCTTTAAACAAACAGAATTCCTATAATTTAATTTCTCTGGGAATAACATCCCACACTGAAACCACTGAACATGCTCGCATTGTTGATGTATATGATAGCAGGAATTAAGAAAGGTAGGTAGTGCTGAGATTACCTTGAGAGCTGCATTCTGAGCGATAAGCTGCTCACACTCGCTCTTCACGCGGCTTATTTCTGCTCTAAGAGATGCATTTTCTACCTTTAGAGCTTCAGCCCGATGTGCCAGTTCATCACATTCTGCCTAACTCCCAGATCAAGGAAAAAGTGATAGGATCCTCCAATTATCCAGAACAATTAACAGGAATTTAACAAGAAATCAACTGAAATTCTTTATTGAAGAAGATGAACAGTACAGTAACCTAGGCCGAAGCCTCCCAAAAGAGAAGAGAAAAGAATCCTCTAATCTTTCTCAGTCCCAGACTAAAAGTCCCAAAAGCCTTCTCAACTCCTCCCCACTATCTTCTATTTATACTAAACTAATACACTTATTATTATTACTTCTATTATTACTCTAATAGGTAGGTCCCTATCAAAAAGTGTCAGGGATTAATCAAGACCGGCGATGTAAATGCTAAACGGGATTGATTTTACCTGCTTGCGCTGCCTGGAACGGCGAGCAGATTCCCGATTGGACTGCTTTCTTCTCTGCCTCTTAAGCTCCTTTTCATTCTGAACATCAAGAATAACATGGTTATGTTATTCATCTGGTTGTTGGTTATGTCATCTAAAACAAATAATACTCTCAGAGGTCAAAATGTCTATTTTTTCTACTTGGGCATGCATGCTCTTCCTGAACTCATGTAGCCATTATATACTGCACATGTATAGTTTTCTATCTTCATTGCCTCTGTCTTAGAAAAGTCACATTTCACCAATGTATAGTGATTTATTCAATGGTAAGATACAACTACTAGAAGTCATGAATCCTACTCTCTTGAATTTTTTTGTTGGTTCAACTCAAAAAATCACATGCAACTTGAACTTGTGTCAGTGTGCCTTTATTGGAAACTTGCACAGAAAATTAGCGTTGTCTGCTCAAACAAGACTTGTTTTTTGGACAAAGAAAGTTCTTGACACATAACTCTTCTTTTTGGGACGCAGCCGAGTCATAAACAAGTTAACAAAAGCAATACATTCATGAAGAAAGGTATCAACACTTGGAGAAACCTGAATCCAATGTTGTGGTTGAACACCATCTCGTGATCCGGTAGCAACTGGGCCAGAAGGCACTTTTCCTTGGATCACATGAATAGCAGCAGATGGAGGAGCAGCAGAGCCCCAATAATCCATTCCAATATTCAGATTTGTAGTAGGGCCAGCAACACCACCTAATGCAGTCACAGCTCCTGCTGATAGTGGCACTATTTCCATACCATGACCATTGCTCTCTCCATTCTGAGTTGCTTCGCCTGAAGTAAAGAAGACATCATATTAGTTTTCCATTGAAACAAATACGTTGCAAATAAGTCATTGCACTTTCATTCGGACTGAATCTTGCGTACCTCCGGATTTTGACTGTGATCCCTGCAGAAATGAGGACAAGATAAAAAAATAAAACTCAGTCTTGTGCATTAAAAGGATAACAGAGTGCAAATGAAATTTTCTATTAACAATATAAGTACACCATCAAGATTGTCTTGATAATTTGATAATGTAAAATATGAAATACCTACATTTTGAGAATTGGAATCACTCCCTCCAGTTGAACCTTCACTTCCACTCTCACCACTGACATTGTAGGTGTTAAACATTAAAGAGTATGAAGCAAACAGAAGTGTTGAGTCCAAAAGCAGTTTATATTCATTACCCATAAATAGGCATTGGGTCCAAAAGCAGCATATTCATTACCTATATGTAAAGGTGATCTATCAATCTATCATGCTAATATCCTAAGCTGACTAATTTTATACACGCGGACAAGTCAAAGTGACCCACGAAGAAAGGGAGTGAGGAACCTTAAGATTGAAAAAGGAATCAAACAACATATAGAAATGTGTACTAACATGCAAATACACATAAAACACAATGTTGACACCAACACTTTCATAAACCTTTGCTTGGTCAACAAGAAACAGGAGGTAGACAAGTGAGATGCAAGTGTAGAATTTATCATGTTTGGTTAGCAGAGAAATGTAAGGAGAAGTTGAGATGATGGATCCTACCTTCATTTTATTTCTTCTACCCATTTATCCGACCAAAAAACAACAAAAATGAACCTACATTTCTTTTATCCATCAATTTCCCACTTGTTTCTCTCTTTTCTATTTCTTCCCTAAATCAGACAAAGGCTAACAGAATAGATTGATGGTGCTGGACAGTCTTTGATGGTAAAGCCACAATATTTGCAAGTAAGATGAACTGATGAAGTATGGGATACAGAGTGATTGAATTTATGGTTCAATAGCTTTTCTCAAGCATGAGTAAACACCCTGGACTAAATAGTCATATACACATCAATTTATTTATGATATATCATTTTTGCTACTAATATATAACAATACCTTTTACAGTATGACCCATTAGCATATACTGCAGATGCTTTTCCAAGTTCATTGTTTTTCCCGGCAGCCACGTTCAAACTTACCATGCTTCCCTTTGATCTTTTAATTGGTAACTTCTCCTTCCCTTCAGACGCCTTGCTATTTACTTCTACGTTTCCGGAAGTATTACCCTAAAGTGCACATGGAAAAATAAGAATGAAGTACATATAAATTTAAAAGCGGTGGTTGTTTAAAATGATAGGCTTTAGAACTTACTGAAGTATCTGAAATACCATTTGGAGACGGCATTGGAAATGGGCTAAAAGGATAAGAGCCCTGGTATGTCAGAAAATGTTAGTATAATCTACAAGTAGGTGAGGAATAACAGCAGAAAATAGATGGGAAACAAAGGAGAACATACAGGTGGAATAGATGCATGCGCATAGATACTGCCATGTGGATACATTGCAACATAAGGATGAGGTGGAGTGCCATAGGGTGGCATGAGATGCTGCATAAAAAAAGGATAAGACTAATTCACAGTGAATAAAGCATTGTTTCAAAGTTTTCCTACCAGCAATTAGAGTATAATAACTGCAAACAAAGAAATCCAATAATGCTGCAAACAAAGACATCCAATAAAGCAAAGTCCTGACCTGAACTCCCCACACATATGGGTGTGCTTGAGGATTTGATGCCAAGAACCCATGCGGAGGCATTGGAGAGTACGCCTATGTAATGAAAAGTGAAAACACATTATTTAAAAAAAAATTGATAAATGATAGCCTAACGGTATAGCCTTAAAAAATAAAAGATTATTTTCAACGGAAAAAAAAGTAACATATCATGCTCCATAATGGACACGTTGATTTCC